TGCCCACCTCAGTGTCTGAGCGAGAATAGAGCATGCATGCAAAAAATCTAGGCACACACGCAACAAAACCACACCCACACACACTCACACACACACTCACACACAGGATCTCCCTTCAAGGCAGTTTGTGTGCTGTCACATACAATGCTCTCAAATATAGCGAGACATCAGTCCAGTTCTGGTCTGGACTGTTGCAAAACAGACATGCAGCATGATCGCATCCGTCGCCCAACTGTTGTCGCAGTCATGTCGAGCCACATAGAAACTCACACACACACACACACACACACACACACACACACACACTCTTGTTTGTTGTCCCTAAGTAATATTGAAGCACAGCTCCATGCTGAGATCACATTAGAAGATACTTCCCTGCTGCCGCAGGTCTGACAGAACCAATCTCTTCAGAAGTACAACTGAGAGGGGAGTCTGTTCAATACTTCAAAAGCAAAAAACATACAACATTTATGACTAGTGGGTCCACTGGTTGCCATCTTAACACAGAGGCATCGTAAACCTCCAGTCATGTCTGCAACAATATCTGTCTGCGTGGATATAACCAGGGTATTTCCAATTTTGTTTGTATATTTCAATGAAATTAACTCCTTTTAATTAATATTCCTCCCTCTTTTTGTCACCATCAGCACAGATTTCAGGTCGTAATAGTTTATTCTACTCGCTGTCAGCCAAGGCAGGTGTAATGGAGCACATTTGACACGGTTGAGTGGTTTATAGATTATCCTTGCATTCCTCTGGCACGTATCCCGACCAGACAGAAAATTGTGAGGTGCGCTTAGAAAAGGTATTTCCATTCCCTCTCTCACACTCTTTATTTCTCTTCTTTCAATTTTGCCGTCCTGCTATGTTGTCTCAGCCCTCCTATCTCTGTAGAGCCTCCCCAGCTCTGTTCTTCACCTCATGCCTGTAAAGCCCATCTGCTCCTAGTGCTCTTATGTTTTTATTTGACAGCAGCAGCGTTCGAGGGCCGGCCCGTCATGTCAAGTGAAGGTTTACAGACCCTGATGGGCCAAACAGTCTGGCTCCGATAATGGCCACCATTGCTGAAATCGCAGTGTGTATGTGTGAATGTGTGTAGGTGGGGCTGGTGGTGGTGGTGTGAGGAGGGCAGTGAAGCAGAATTGGAAACAGTGAGGAGAATGAGAATAAGATGGGAATGAAAATGTGCAGCCATGCCGCAGACTGGCCAAGTAACCTCACCCCGAACCAGCTGGCTGCAGACTACGTCAATAGCGCTTCATTTTGCTCCACCGTGGTTATAATGGGGTTTCAATGAGGCATCAAATGAGTTCTGCTCGAACAGAATCACTGTTCAGCACAAAACTCTTCACCGCTGCAATTCTTTCTCCAGTGCAGGCAGAGCTGTCAAAAGGGCAACAGGGAGAGAGGGGCACGAGGAAAATGTGCATTTACTGTATGGTTTGCCGGCACGAGCATGTCCGAGACTCGGTGATCGGAAAAATAGAAACCCCTGCAAACAGTTTAAAAAAAACCTAATACGACAACAATTTCAACTCCGATAGCTCTCGGAGAGAGGCAATGTTTCAAAAAGAAAGATTAGTTATTGTAGCACAGTGTTGATTCCATTCCACTACTCTGAAACCACTACAGTCATTGTATAAACCAACACTCAAAATCCTTGATAAAAAATCTGTTCTTTCTCATCATTGCCCTATACTAAAAAAATATAACTTGTTTAGTTGGGAGAGCATGATTAAATATGTGAATGTCTGTCTCATGTACAAGATTACACATGGCTTGACCTCTTCTCCGCTCAAACAATTTGTTGTCGCAAGAACAACTGGATATCGGCTCACAAGAGGTGCCGCAAGAGGGGATTGCATTATCCCACTCAGGAAAAGTGCTTTCAGTCAGTCTGCCTTTTCAGTACAAGCTGCACTACAATGGAACTCCATCCCAGTGACCATTAGAGAACTAGAAACATACAGTTCATTTAAATCTCAATTAAAGAAATGGTTAGTTAGTACACAGCTCTGTCAGCACTAGATTGTATCTGTTTCTCTGTCTGTGTTGAACTTCCCTCGATCTGTCTGTTGTCACCTGTCTGTCCGATGTCACCTGTCTGTCTGTCTTGAAATTGCCGGTCGACCCTCATCTACCTGCATGTCTTTTATTGTTGTTTAGCTGTGTCTGACTGATTTATGTATTTCACATACTCTGCATGCTTTTATATTTTGTGCCTCTGACATGGATGTTTTTTAGTGTCTAACAATTGCATAATAATATTGTCTTTAGTCCATGTTTCTATTTTAACATAATTATCCCTCATTTTATTTGCTTTGTGTGTGTTGACTTTGAGAGCTTCTGTGTTGCATGTCTTGTTAGTACTTGACAATGTATAAGAGTCTCCTGAGTGAAGATACTACGTATATTAATATTCTCACTTTTTTTCATTGTTTGTGCACGCATTATAAAGCGTCAATATTGTATATTTAATCTTATATTCTGTTTTTAGGTTTATTTTGTAACATCTGCCTCTTGGGACTACAGATGAGACATAGCATTTTGGCTAACTCTGGCGCATTTCCAGAAATGTTTTTATTAATGTGCACTGTCCCTTATCAAATAAACCAATAAATAAAATAAATTAGATTGTGTTTAAAAGTGCTAAATTCGATATTCAGAGCGCTAATATAGCAGCAAAAAGCGATTGTCTCAGTAAGGATATAGTGGAGTAATGTCTACCTGAGCAGAGAATGAATTCGCTCTCCCTCTGTGTGTTGTAATCCGAGTTTCTCCATTCTTTGACATACTTTTACTGCATGCTCGTGCGTGTGAGCGTGCCCCATCGGTTGGCTCACGGCAGCCGTAACACTGTTAGCTCTGTCAGCACCTTCGCCGTAGTTTGCACTGTTAACGCTGATAGCACTGTTAGCGGCATGCTGCCTGCTCAGCCATTGCCATGTTGAGAGTCGTTGAGAGGCAATAGAAATGCTCTCAAAATCTATTCACAATTAGATTCAGACAGAAAAGTCAGAAAAGATGAGCATAATTTGTGTGTATTTATTTATATGTTTTTGAAATTGCTTATGTCTTTTTAATCATCTTGGGAACCACTGAATCAAATGACTGTGACTCTTTTCAGCATCTTAGCCAAAGAAATACTTTACAGAATATGCAGAAAAAAACTATCACGAAAATGAAAGACATTGATTTCCCTCCATGCAAATAATCATATTCAATCTGATGAAATGACTCATCCTCTCTTTGAGTTAGTGTTCTACCTTGAAACCCGCTGAATTAAATTACAGTGGTATAAGTCGCATTGCCTCACCTCCGTGGTTGCGCTGTTAAAGAAATATAATGTTTTATGAATAAAGACGAGACTCAACATGGCATCTTGCAGGTTATGCTCCTTTTCTTTGCCATGGCCTTCTAGCCAAGGCCAAGAGGAGATCTGTTTCAGCCCAACATTATGTATTCTGCCACGGACCAGTGGACAGTTCGGTCCACTTTATACCATCTGAATTATTCACCAGAGAATGTGAAACACTGCGTTAGCTCACCACAGTCAATTGTGCGAGAGTGTCTTTGTCTATGTCATCATCATTACATGTTTTTATAATTTACATAAAATTGGAAAAAAAGACAAACATTAAACAGCTTCAAACAATGCTGTCACTAATCTTCCTCAGGGATTGTGATGAAGCATACAAGTGTAGGTGTTTTCTTAATACCAGTGGGGTAGAGATAGTCTGCAGATCAAAAGGCCTGAGTCAGACTTAATTAAAAAAAATATTAATCATGTGTGGAGTTTTTTTTTTGTAATTACCCTTATGCATAATAGTGCAGCTAATTGATTCATTAAGAATCACAGCAGTCACCGGGGTGCCCGGTGGTATAGAAGAAGAGGAGAGGGAGGAGGAAAATGAGAATAAATATAACTTCAAAGAAGAAGAAACAAAGTATTAACAAGGTTTAATGTAACGCACAACATAGGGGACTGATGCTGCATAAAACAGCCTCAGTAAATGGTTCTTTACTATATATTAGTTTTTATTCGCTGGTAGAGTTGGCAATGTGAATAGGTTGAGTTGATATTTGATTATACAGTGTCATCTGCTGGTCAGTAAGGGACATTTCACATTTCTCATTTTAAGCCACAAACACACGACAGTAACAGACGATTTCACTGGAAACCAAACACTTGTGACTCATGTATTTATTGAGTATTTAAACATTTGGTCACTGTGTGTCCCTTAAGAGGGGTTACAGGTTAAGTGCACAGCAATCCCTATCAACAAAACTGAAAACTGATAAAAAAACTAAAAACAAATGCATCACCAAACATTCACTGTGAATACGAACACATCCACACAAAAAAAGAGACCACTTTCTCTTCCAGAGAGGTCAATTCATAAAGGCAGCATGACGGACCTACATTGTGTGTACAGACTAGAGCCAAGCAGAAACATGCCAGATGCAGTTAAGTTCCTGCTGTGCCTGATTTAAAAAAACAAGTAAAGTCTGCAGCCACATTGGTAGAAAAACACTTAAACATCACTCTTCAAAAATAATATCACGAGTGTGGTTTTTATTAGGATCCCTCGGATAAAACTATTTGCAAAAACAATGATATGTACATAGAGTACACTTTTGAAATATGACGAAAGAATAAACGCTTCCTTGGTGTAGCGGCACACTACTCTGCTTCAGTAATGAATAGGTTTGACTTTGCTCTGATCGGAGCAGCCCTTTTTCTAAATTGAGCAATCATGGGCCATATTTGTTGACAGCACATAGCTACATTGGCCTCAACGCACTGAACAACCAACAGCAACTGTTTGCATTCTGATTACCAACCAGCCAACGAGTCACAAATGTCAGCGTCTGACTGGAACACAGCAGGTAATATGAACCTTTTGTAACTTTTGGATAGACCGCCACAGCTGGACAGAAGAGGTTTAGCTCAGTACAGAGATGTAACTTTGCTATAATATATTATATATATATATATATATATATATATATATATATATACCGCAGCAGAGCCACTACAAACGATGTCTTCTATAAAGATGTATCATTGTCAGTGTGGCAAAAAATTAATACTGAGACTTCTTCTTCAACGCTCCTTGACTGACAGATCAAAACCATTTCTCATGCTCTGCAGCAACACAGGCTTTTCATAATCACACAGACACATTCCTGTCAAACAACAGTGTGAAGCTGTAGAGCTTAGTGTTTCGACACAGTCCTCTGCACCACTGACCATCAGCAAGAGACCACTTAGCAGAGAGACTTTGCTCGAACCTTCGGGAAAAGCTGTAAAAAAAAACAAAAAAAAACAAAAAAAAACATTTCTGCATTATGGTGAGGCAGTCAGGAGGTGAGGGCAAAATTGTTCAACCTTTCCATTTAGAAATTGGTATCTTACCCCAAAGTAGTTGTTTGGAACAAAGCCCTCCCTGCCACAGAGTGAGGCCCACCACCAATCCGACCCCTCGGGTTTCTGCAGGATGGTGACCATGTCTCCCTCTTTGAAGCTAAGCTCGTCGGCTGCCTGAGCCGGGTAGCTCCACAGAGCGTACAGCACCCCGCTGTTCTCCGTCCCCATAGCCGCCTCCAAACCTGGATGTATATGTATGCATGTTTGAAACTCTCTGCACCTAAATATCAGTCCATAATACTCAATATGGACGAAATCATAGCTTTATTTTGAACCCCTGGAATCTGTATTTTATCTGCGTTGCTGCTTAATTTTCTTACATAAAAAAACAAACATACAGTACATGAAAACTTTTAGTGTCATGTGTTCTATACAGAATTTCAAAGGCTTTTCCGGCCTGCCAAATATGCAGATTTAGTATGGAATGGTAATTTATTAGGATACCAACATATTAGCCCAAAAATCCCATATGATTTAAATTATTCCAACACAGTGTGTCTCGCTGCAGTGTGCTTGTGTAAGACAACAGAAACATATCTGCTCCCTTTAAGTTACCTTGAATGAGAATATTGGCTAAGAGCCATTAATGTAAACTGATGGGTATTTTAGCTGCAGCTATATCATGTTTAATGGTGTGAACGACTAATGGGAGACTGAACTGAAACCCTCACATTAGACAAATGGTAAAAAGAGCAAAGGTCAGAGCCCCAGTAACTGTCAAATGGTGTCTATTCTATGATTTGTTTGACTTTAAGCCTTTAATATAGCGTGTGTGTAGATATGGAGGTGTAATAACCTCACCCTTCAGGAAGCTCTCGCACTCCTCAAACCCCACAGCGTAAGGATCGCACTTCTCGGAGGCGGTGGCGCCGTCGCTCTCCGTCATGGCCATGACAGCGGCTCCATTCCTCACCAAAAACTCACACAGTGGACGGTCGTTACAAGAAGCGGAGCAGTGCAGCGGAGTCCTGCGGCCCAAAGAACTGGCGGTTAACACGTGTGGGAGCACAAGATAGCTGTGCTGTAAATGTCCCATTACTGCGAGACACAGTACTACAATACTGGTAGCAAAACCCTCACGTTGGCAAAATCTAAACTTAACATGCAACCTTTAATGTGCTCAGTTACACGGATCCATCACAGGAGAGAGGCAGTGCTGGAGAATACTACATAATACTTCATAATACTACAAGTCCTGCAGTCTAACCCGTACTTCAGTAAAAGTATGCAAAATGTACTTAACATATAAAAAAAGCACTTGTTGTGCAGTAAATGTTCCCTAAAAGTAAAAGTACCTCGAATTTGAAGTACAATACTTTTGTAAATGTACTTCGTTACATTCTACCACTGGAGAGAAGATATGGGTGGCAAAGAATAAGCAGATATTTACCAGCCGTGGCTGTCTGGCGCGCTGACATTGGCTCCAATGCGAACCAGGAAATCCACCACATTGTAGTGGCCGCCGCAGATGCCGTTGTGAAGGGCAGTGATGCCCTCATCATTGGGTTGGCTAGGGTCGTTCATCTGCGGAAGACATTTTACTCAGCTAAACTGTAATCAAGTACCTACAAGAGTTTCTGCTCTCAGATAGTCTCAAACTGCTACATTTTAAGAAAGTGTTGTTGATGTTGAATGAATATGCTTCTCTGTCTCGCTACTTCATCCTCCTTCCAAAACTACTGCCAGGATCACCTTGAGACAGCTCTTAACCCCCCAAACTTCTAAAATGTAGTTGGAAGCTGTTGTGCAGCATGAGCAACTTCCAGACAAATGTATTCCTGTGTGAAAAAGCAGCAGCAGGGATGTGCTGAATGCAGGCTCAGCAGTTAAATATCACATCTTTTTGTGCTTCTTTTAAGTGTAAATCCAGACCAGGAGCAGACTTTGGCACTACACTTTTAGTGCAGACCAAGTTTTTACCCGATAGATCTTTTTTCTTTTATGGAGGCTGCCAAGCTAAAAATAAGTAATCCTTCAAAAATGTATTGTTTTTGTAAGAAAAGTGGTAACTATTGGAAATATTGTAACCAACTGCATTATTACCTTTATTTTAATAATTTAATTCAACCTTTTCTTTTAAATTTCTATTCTCAACAGATTATGTTTTTTTATGGCTAGATGATATACAGTATATACAATGAGGTATATTAGTACACACACCTCCTGCACGGCCTTCTGCACTATCTCCAGTTCCCCGACCAGCGCTCCGTCCAGCAGCAGGATGAGCGGGCTGAGTCGAGCTCGCCTCCCAGAACTTTTGTGATCCTGCTTGGACCACCGCAGGATGGAATGGTAGTTCTGAAGAGACAAACAGGATACCAGCTTGCATAAAGTGAAACAAATACAAAACAAAATGTAAAGTACCTTTATGCATAATAATAGCCTTTTTTTTTTTTTTTTACAATTAGACAATCTCTGCTTTTCTATTACATCATCAGTTGGTCTAAACCCATTTCTTACTCTGAAATCAGGATGCATTGTGGGTACAGGTAGAGCAGCAGGAGGTGGAGCAGCTTCCTCTCCGTCTGAGGAGCTGCTTGTCTCGCTACCTCGCTCCCCCCTCTGGCGCCGGTCCTTCCTACGAAAGAGCTTGTCGATGAGATTCTTGTACTGGTTGGGCTGGTCGTGGGAGGCCCTCTTCTGGGGCTGGGACTGGTCCACGGAGCCCCGTCTCTTCAGGGCCCGCGGGATTTCTGCCCTCATGCGGAGCATCTCCTCCAGGTCAGGAATCTCGTGTCTCTGGGCCTCGTGGGCCACCACTGGCTGTAGCCTGGTGGGGCTGAGGGGCCGGGGAGCTGGGGGCGCGCCCTCCCTTCTGCCCTCTGCCACGCTGGGATTCTCTGAGATCACGGGCATGTTATGAACGAAGTCCAGCCGCTCCAACTCTGCGTCGATATCCCCCGAGTTCAGCGCTGCAAAGACAAACACCAAACCACATTCGTCAAGCAAAGTCAGTCGAACGAAGATCCTGTGAACACAGAGACCGTCAGAGTGTGTGTGCAGATGTCGAATGTGTTATACCGTCACTGTATACGGCTGGCTGTCTCAGCTCAGGAGGGTGTTGCAGTGGCTGGGGCACATGTTGGTGGAAGAAATCCTTCGGGAAGGGTGCAGGTGGTTGGTACGGTGCCATGTCGCCTTCCCCTCCCAGGACTCTGGGGTGGGGGGTTGACATTGCTCTCCAGTGGGGGTTTTGGAGGCGCATAATGACGGAGAGAGGGATGGGCTTGCGCTGGCGGGACTGAGTAGCAGTCGGGGGAATGGAAATGCGGGAGATGATGGGCTGAGGGTGGAAAGGGGAGTGGACTGGGGACGAAACATCTGGAGGCACGGCTATGCGTGTATTACGGGGCAGGGAAGTGTGGGAATAGATGATAGCTGGAGAGCGAGGATCCTGGAAGAGAAAGAAAAGAATGATACATTTCAATCTAATTCCGATGCACTGAATCAGATGACCATATAATATGAAGTGTCTGTCATAGCAGCGGAGAATTATAACCTAACTGCAGCTTTAAGGAGCTTCGGAGCCTCTTTTAGCCTGTTGTTTTCATTTTCAGACAACTTAACAAGCCAGTATCATGGTGCTGACTGTGCATTGCATCGTTTTCTGTCCCATAGATGCAAAAATGGACTAATGCATCTTTTAAAAAATACTATGATTTGAGGTTTTTGATGTAACGAGGCTTGTGAAACTCCCATCCCCGCCCACTTCAGCCTGTTACTGGCAGTAACTCCCATTTCGTGGATATCTATGACTTTGCAACATCCGGAGGGAATGGCTTAAGAAAAAAAAACACTCTCTCACAGTAACTATTCTAAAGTCTCTTTGTTAATACCACCCACCTTTTTGGGGCTTGGGGCCAGAGGAGGGCCATCGAGGTTGGATTCTCTCCAGCTACTTGGCAGAGGTGGTCGCAGCCACTCTGACTCTGTAACAGGAAAGTGTTGAGTTAGAAAACAGACACCACGTACAGTACAGTCTCGGCGCCATTGCTCCTCTGGTATTGTACTCAAATGGTTTGCCCTGGACTAATTCCACACCTTCACATACATAACAAAAGTTGAGAAAGTAGGGCTGGGCGATATCGATATAGATTGTTTTCTGGTAGTTCAGTAGATAAATAAATAGTCCATATGGAATTCCCCACATGGTAAAGCCTTTTTTTCTTCACTCAATCAACAATTGTGTGTCATGACATCTCCATACATGGCTTTTATCACAACTAAGAGAAATGATCATATTGAATGAATTGCCCAGCCCTCCGAGAAAGTAGCAGGAATCAACCAACTGTCATAGGTGTGGTGAGTTTTTTTCTCGTACGACACGTCCAGATCTGTCTCATTCCACTTGCCAGAGCTCTTTTGCTGCTGCTGCACACCCTCGTCTAGCAGAGAGAGAGTGAGAGAGAGAGAGAGTGAGAGAGAGAGAGAGAGAGAGAGGGAGAGAGAGAGAGAAAGAGAGAGAAAAAATATGAGCAAAAGAGAAATACAAACAAAAGAAAGTGTGCCAGAAAGAGGGAGAGATTACAGAAGGAAGCTTCAGCATTGCAGTACTTTAAAGGCCAGTTTTTTTTGAAGAATCTCTGAAAGAGCACCGTGACATGAAACACAGAATGATTCAATTCTATTGGGTGGGTTGGCAGTGTATTTTTGTAGCAAAGCTTTATCTAAATGTATAAAAGGGGGTATTGCTCTATTTTTTTGTGGCAAACTGGTAAGACTACCATACTGTGTATTTATGAGGCCCGTTGGAAGAATTTCTTTTGTTCTGTCAGCATCCAGAGCTTCACACCCACCTCTAAGACAGACAAACTGTTTGGGGTCCATTATCATAACAGTGGACTTATTTATGAAATAATTCTCTAATTTTTAGCAATGCTGACCAGTAACTGCTCATACCAAATCTATAAAACCTGATTCATCACCAGATCAGAAAAGATCAACACTGAGGGAGAGTTTAGAATTTCTGGTTCAAATGGTGCGTTCCCATCATGTTGACTGAGTAGTGCCATTATTATCTGTAAGTTAAAACATCCACCCCAAGACCAGACTGCTCTTGTTTCCAAAAGTATCTCTCCTTCAGTTTCCCACCATGTATGTGATGTTACCTCAAAATGAAAACAATGAGAATATAGTTTATCTAATCCCATTCTAATCCCATATCTCTGTTGGGTTTAGTTGCACCAGAACGTCCGTCTAACTGCAGCCACTCACCGGATTTCCTCGAAGCGGCAAAGTTTCGAGGCAGCGTGTTGGACATGGGGTAATTGAACGACAAAGGAGAGCGGCGTTTGTCCGGGCGAGGCGACCTGCGGCCCATCTTGCTGCTGCCGTAAGGGCTCAGCTTGTTGGAGGAGGATTGGAGCGAGGCAGACCAAGATGGCAGGTCAGAAGAAACAGCAGCAGCGCTCGGAGAGGGGCTTTTATCTGCGTAACCGATTGAGCCTTGTGGGCTCCTGTCGTAACTTGAGGGGGAATGGCGCCTCGGAGTGTGAGGCAAATGTATGCGGCTCGGCTGGCCGTACGCGTAGCTGTCGGATCCGCCTCGAGGGAGAGGAGAGCGTGATTTCCTCTGGATCTTGGGGGGTGAGAGTGGGCTGGTGGCGAAGACAGGGGGGGGCGACGGTGCTTTTTTGTTGCTGGAGAAGACGGAGTCCAAGGAGTGGAACGTTGGGGAGACGGGCTTAGAGCTGTCATTACTGCTGGTTCTCGTGTCCCTCATAGTGGAGGAGGAGATGGAATGGGGCTTCTCTCTGAAGATGGCAGAGCTGGTCTAAAGGGAAAATGTAATTGTTATCAATAAATATTATAAGGAAGGACTACTGTGCTGGGTAGCAACATATGCACATTGTTTTATTTTATGTTTAAGATGTAAAAAAAATGTATTTTGTCGTCATTCAACAACTGATTTGACAGTGCGCCAGTGGCTAAGACTCGTGGAATATGTTGTTTTTGAATATCAACAACATTACTATTGTTTCATTTTAAGTAATATAACAAGGTATTTAACCTTTACTGGCTAGTGCTGTTGTTCAGCTTAGAATATGGATGGGCAAACCTCAGGAGCACATCATAAGACAGAATGCATGCAGAATGGCATGCTGTGACTAGCTACGAGAGGGAGGGAGACTTCAACTCACTGAAGAGGAAACCGGTGCTGGAGGTGTGTGTATGTGCGCACCTGAGAGTTTGAGTTGTTGTTGTCGGACGAGGCCTCCTTCAGCAGGGAGTTGAACTCTCTGGATAACTCATCTGCTGTGGCCAGCGATGCATTCAGGTCGTCATTTATAGTCTGGACTGGACACACACCACACAAGCAACACTGACGATTAGCATAGCGTGTTACCCCAACGTGCACAGACACACACTGAGCCACACGAAGACAAGTGAAAGGTTTGTGGAAACTCACACAGCATGCTGCTGCCAATGCTCGCTTGAGAACTCATGGCTGTGAGGAAGCAGCGTTCGGCTCCTGAAAACAAGGGAAGCACACCACGCCACACCTGTTAGGAGGAAAGTGTCACAACACCTTCAACTGACGTTTTCACAATCTCGTGGGATTGATTCCCTTTTTATGGGGCTCGGCGGGCCCCCCGTCAAAGAAAAAAACACAGCAGCTTCGCACGAATAGGCTCTGCTGTCTGCCCTCTAGGTTCCCAATCATGCCATTCGACTGAGCCGTTGACTCTTACTTCGATGCAATGAAGTTAGACTTAAGTGTTTAACCCTACCCTTTCTCTCATGCTGCAGGCTCCCAAGCAGCCTCACCCCCTCAGGTTCTCTGACACACACACACATACACACACACCTGAATGCCCTTCATGTCCAAACAAGTTAGTTTGGAAACTGCAAATCATACACTTGCAGGCATGCTTGAAACGACAAGTCACACTACCAAATCATAGTGAGGCCCTCTCTCGCGGTGCCTGTCCTGCTTTGCTGACTAAACCACATCATATGTGATGCCAGGTGTTCCAGCTTAACGTAATATATGACTGGTCTGTTTGAAAGCCAGTTACAGACAGACAGACAGACAGACGTAGTGCATTGATAGTCAAGTGGACAACATATTATACAAATACTTCCAGACAGCTGGGTCTGCCAACAGGTCAATTAGTGCAGACTCAGTGCAAAGTGCTCACCTTGATTCATTTTCCAGTGTTGTTATTCCTTAAAGGGAACATGTTAGAATAAAATAAGAAAAGCCAACTACCCCAGGGCATCTTCTTCATGAATTTAAAACACAAGATAATACAATATAAATGCAACTTTCTCTTTTAGGTACTGTAAAGCCTCAATATAGTGGAGAACATTTTTAAAGTCAACTGTAAGTCCTGAAAGACTTTATGTACAACAGTCATGTTATTCTAATATGTTAGACAGTAAATATGTGCATAATGGGGATAATAAAACGTCTTGGATAAATCATATGTTTACAAGTGTGTTGAGCCCTCCTGACACACCTGTCCCCCATTTACGAGCCTGCCGTCTTTAACTACTAATGTCCGTGCACGTACGGCCTCACAGACAGACAGAGAGTGAGGTTAGTCTCTCATAGGCCTGTGAAAAAACAAGGAATCCACTGTCACTGATGATTCAAGTGCTCGGCCTGCTGTGTGACCACTCGACATCTCTGTGAGAGCTATTTCGGTACGTTTTCTACTCCAAAAACACTCACTTTTAATCTGTAACATACCATCAACGTGTTGAGTGTAATGTTTTTACAGACATCGCTCTGTCAGATATTTGAGTAATTCATTGTTTGCATGTGTATCCCTTAACGTGCCTTGTTCTTCAGGTAGTGATACAGAGTAACATCCGTTTGTTGGAGGTTGTACTTTTTCAACTTCCAGACAGTTTTGTAGTTGCTTGAAAAGTATTATTTCCCGGAAACTAAGAGGTAAGTGTCTCTTCCTCCTTCCACTCTTTGTGTTAAATATGTCCCAGATTGTTTGATTTGTATCTGTACATGACAAACAGAGTGATTCAAATTGGTATTGATCTTACTTTGGGAAAGACTGCAAAAAAAAAGGAAAAAGGCTAAAGCATTCCTTTAAGCTTCTTTTTAAAAATGTTGGCAGAAAGAGAGAGGGGAGGCACATTTATCTTTGTTGCCTAATACAAAAGGTGCACGTAAAAATCGTGCTGTACTGGAGACAGGCCTGGTCACACAGGCTGACATTCCTCAGCACTCCTCCCAGTGAGGCCTTCACCACACACACACACACACACACACACACACACACACACACACACACACATATCTCTGTGAAGGGCAGCTCACACACAAAGAGATTACACTCTCATTGACTCACAAAGGTCAGGTCGACTGCTCACTGAGCTCTCCACTTCCTCCCCAGAAATTCATTCACCCCGCCTAGGGGTGACACAATATACCAGTAATGACGATGGCCGTGGTGTTTTCAAAGAAAGGTTGACATCCTGTTAATAATACACATTTAGTATCATGAAAGTAATCTAGTGCTTCTTAAATGCTTTGAGATACACAGTTATGGCTACAGACTCTCCACCTTCCTACACTACTGTATCAGGGGTGTAGATTCATTTTACTGACAGCATTAACAATATTATTATTTTTCAAATTTTCTGTATCGCAATAATATTGTTATTGTGAATTATTTTGGCCACGATGAGTAGAGAATCTGACATTGTGACAGCCCTAATCCCACCCTTTTACTGGTTGTGTTATTCTATTGTTACACTGTCAGTTCACCATCAAAACTACATGTTTACTTTACTTTTAGATTTACTTGGTACATACTTTTGGACCTCTTAATGAATGTGTAATGCTTGCTTTATGTTTATTTTTCTCATTACTCAAGCCTTATTCCACCGTTAATGTGTCTTAACAAAAGAAAGTAAATAAAAAAAATGGTACTTAATGAGAAGAGGTAAAAGAGCATATCATTAATATGGTATTGCTAACTTATAATGCATTTTAAAAGGTTAATTTACAGGATAAAAGACTGAACCAATGGTACCCAACTTCCCTTAGGACTTTGACCTTCTAATCCTCCCACCATGTTGTGTTCTGTTGTCATTTAGATTGTGGATTTGCTTTTTGTTGTTGACTTATGGTTTTGAGGTGTTATTTTATTGTATCGTATTTTATTTTTATCTTGGCATCTAGTGTTGGTAATTTGCATCTTGTCTTCCTTTGCTGTTCTTATCAGCATATTTTATTACTATGCAAATTAATGTTCATGTAAACTCAACAGCCTTGGCCAGACTTTGTAACATGAAGGTTTCAAGAGAAGAATTTAGTAAATAAATGTTTTTGTAGAAACAGGCAACATTTACGAGGTCATCACATAGAGTATCAAATGAGGCAGCTGTTCCACCTTAAAGCACAAACACAGTAGAAAGGGGGTGTTTCTCTTTAAGTATTGAAGCACAGAAACATTAATCATCTGTAAATGTAAAGTGGACTGACAGCTTGTGGCCTCTGCAGCGCTGCTATTCCAGGCTTGTGGATCTGCGGCACTTTGGTTGCGTTCTTAGGAGAAGTTTCCTGGAAAAACTCAAGTGCACTTTATGTCCAGTTCCTTTCCAGTGCTGTGATTACTATGGTTCTATGATTACTAGCTGGTTCTACCATTTTAACATACGATTAGCTCTCTCCAGTGGTAAAGCCAAGATGAAACCACGAAGGAGTAACAAAACTCCTATCTCTGCATACTAAGCTTTAGACATTTGGAAAACAATTTAACAACTTTAACGAACACTCAAATAAGCGGATAGATCCTATAGGAAGCAGCAGGGAGATTAAAGCTTTAAAGACAATAACCAGAAGCTTTGCAGAATGCAAGGGTGTGTCTGACCAAGACTACAAGCGGGCCCTCCCTCTTTCCTTTCCTTTTAAGTCCTTAACCAACAATTCCAGACTAAGCATCTAACCCATTTTTTAGTTAATGCTGAACTCCATATTTTCATTTAGGCATCCATTTGTTCCCCCCCCCCTCCTGTTGGTTCCTCCTTCATATCCTTCTGGCTTTGTCTCTGTCCACAGTCCACTCTTGGGAGGGAACTTGACACAACTAAATGCTTCCCTTTGTGTCTTGCTTTTCATGTCTCTTTGCCATGAAGTCCTAAAAGCTAAATCTGGCTCATGCAGACATCATAAACTAAGTCCCTATGTCCCACAGGAGAATAGACCTGCTGATGATGATACTCTCTCTAGGTTCCTGTGAAAACCCCACTTCCTGTTCCTGCGCTTCCCACAAGCTTTCTTAATGGCTCACACACACACACCTTGATTTGAAATATCCAGAATATCATCTGTCTGAATTCCGTGGAAGGTATTTTGATGCCAGAATTTCATGCCAACGTACACTATCACATGCTATGTGTCATGGGGTGTGGTGGAGGACTCAAATGCAGGCCAGACAGAGTAGTGTGAAGCAGGTATTTAACAGACTAACAGACTGACTAACAGACAGACTAACAGACAGACAGACAGACAGACAGACAGACAGACAGACAGACAGACAGACCCAAACGGGCAGCTAGACATGAAAATTATCTGGCAGTGAGTGTGTGTGTGACTGGGGTTTAAATAGTGTCTGCAGTGGAGTGAGCAGGTGAGAGAAAAGAGCTGACGAGGTGGGAGTGACTGGCAGGTGCGCTGAATAAACTAATTAGGTGAGAGATGGAAAAAACAGGATAATGGTGGCAGAGCTGTGACACTGTGAGTCATTTTAAATGAGGTGTTGATTTATCTGGAATCTGACTGGAGATTAAGGCTCATGGTGCAAATCCAAGTGGGAGGTATTGTGTAAAACATTGTGATTTGATACGCTTGAATGGCGGTTCATGGTGGAGTTTGTGGTTTTCATATTTGGTGGCTGCCACAACCACAGAACGAGTGTTTCCCAAAGAATATCATCTCAGATAGAAAACTATGACCAAGCTGATGTTCTATAATAAGCTTTATTGATGTTTTTCCCCCTAATTGCATGAGCTGTTCAATTACATTTGAATTCCATGCTGAAATATGACCTATCATAAATTGCTCATAGATTAATTGTGCATTCTACTGACAGACTTCATCAACTGTAAGTTTCTCAGCTACAAAGCTCCACCCAACGTACTTGTTTCTATGACATCCGCACCTCTGACCTAGTTAGTCATTGAAATGCTTTCTGCCTACACAAAAACCCTAACAAGCATGCATAGCACATTCATTTCACAGCAGCTTAAATCATAGCCAAAGACAACAGCCTTTTAACAATGCAGCTATAATGATCTTCTCAAACTTTGGATAAGCAATTAGTCTCGGCAAGGTGCATAATTGTACATTCATGTGCGGCCAAAAATATATTTCTGAGGTGATAAAAACGAATCCCTGAACCTGCCTTCATTCTTCTTTTGGATAATGGCTTCTATAGCACGAACCCAGCTCTCTCCTTCACTTCTAGAGCAAAGCTGTTCTCCACAGCATGTGACTCAGGAATCTCTCAGTGCCGCACAACATAACAGACATTTCTCACAAGTTACACTGACCCGTCTAACGCTTGCAGTGTGTCATGCTGTGCTGAGGTGCAAAGTGCACAGAGCAGGGCCATTGCTTACCAAGGAGTGACAAGTGGATCTGCTTTCATGCGTGAGCATGCATGAATTCGATCACTGAGGAGGAAGTTGAATAGCTGGTGACTGTAACAGTTTTTTTTATAGGCAGTAGGTTATAGCAGACAATGCAGCCCAGCTGGTTTTGGGTCCAGAGCGAGCAAACATGTTGGCTACATGCCATTTGAATCCTGCTCTGACAGGAAGGTTTGGTTTATATTTTAGATTAGCAGTTCAGCAAATATTTGAGTTTCTAACCAGCGGTCACAACAAACCACTACACCCAAGTGGTGTAGTGGTTTTGCTTTTGTTTGTCAAAGCGACACTTAAAATAATCATAATCTACAACACAATATGGTGATCATCTGTAATTAATATCACATAATCGATCATAAAAACACCATTCAATCTGATGAGTTCACTAATAAATCACTAGTAATGAAGTCACAAAATCTCAGTCCTGTAGATAGGGTTGAGGGATATGGCCAAAATCTTCTCTCTCGATATCGGTCATTTCATATATAAAGATGATGATATATATCACGATATAGCATGTTTTCTGCTTGTCCAATAGATAAATGGTCTATATGAAATTACCCCATGGTGAAGCCTATTTCTGCGTACTCCTGCATGAAGTAAATACTTGACAAATAAAAAACAAATATTTCCTGCTACACACTGCATGTACACAAAGTAAGCTGATTAAGGCAATAGCTTGATTTAACTGGGATGTTCCTTGAAGCACAATTATTTTCAATTCCGAATCTGAGACATTTGAGTTAGTATGTACTTGTTATTGTTAAAATAAACTGCTTATATCGCGATAACTCAATATATGATTTCATCACGACATGATTCCATTGAAAGAGGATATATGATCAGAACGATTTTTTGCCCAGTCCTACCTGTAGATAGTAATTCTGGCGGTGGAGTATGTGCCTGTCTGTTATTGTCTTCTGCTGCTGGCTGCACAGCAGTCTACCAAAGTCCAGCAGCTGGCTACTGCACCGAAGCTTTCCTATGTGGATGCAGACTGGGAGGCACGCCAGGCAGAGATGGCAACATCTGATTTTCATTAGTTTGAGAACAAGCTCCTCCTCGCATCCAAGACCTCTCCCAAAAAAAACGAGAAAACAATGGAGAGAACCATTCAAAAGGGGGAGAAAAAAAGGCGTTTCACGCGACTGCACTTTAGAGGAGCGATACCAAAACTCAAAGAGCTACAATTACGCACGCAACACAGACGCGATCTTGTTGTAAAACTCCCCCCCCACGCAGATAGTTGCGCAGGACACGCGATTATAAAAACGTCCTTACCTCAAACCAACAGGTCTTTTTTCTTCTTCTGCCCGAGAGGAAAGCTGAGCCCTCTTGTCTTCCTGAAGAAGTCGGGTCGCTCCGACTGTGCTGCTCTCTTGCGCCGATTGCTCCAGACATGTAGTCATAGCTGCGTAACTCACTGAGTACAGTTATTTTGGCTCAGAGTCCAGCCCCTCTGGCTCTCTCGCCGCCGCTGTAACCTGAGCCAGGTGTTCCTACTGCAGCTGGCCCAGGTGAATGCATGCCACCGCGTCTGGGCTCACTCTTTTCCTAGACGTCTTCTGTAAAGAGCAGGTAGCCTACAAGCTGCATGTTTTACAACAGGCACCTAAAAGCTTTATAACCGCTTTATAACCCCAGCAGTAAATTACCTCCTTTCGTATACAGAAACCTAAGTAGACTAATCCTAAATGTTAAGGTACAAACAATAAAATGTTATGTTTTACAGGCTACATTTCTATGACAAATGTTGTTTTACATGATTACTTCTAAATTTAGATTTACAAATGGTAAGCTACATTATACATGTATACATTGTATGACAAATTACATGTTGTAAAGGATGTTAGATGTGTATGTGTTAATGATTCTACTACCGTTTTTTGTAGTTTCAGTAGCTCTAATTTTACCTGAAACCTCGATACATTAATGCCTGTACAAGGTGGGACCGTTAAGGGACACTATCAATATGTCATTATTTTCTTAAGAATGCTGGTGGTGTCAAAATTGGACAAAGATGAAACATTATTTAATATTTAGCTACAGTATCACCACATCACTGATGATGACCGCTGACAAATGGAACTCTACCAATGAAACGTCTTAAGTTACCAATCAGTTTTCTAGACATTGCAGAAGTTCACATTATTTTAAGGGAGAGTCAATCAATAAAGCATTTGCCTCGTCACTTGCACACGTGAGCAGGTGGGCATATGCCAAGGATTAAGGGATGAATAAAGTATTTGAAGAAAAGAAAATGAAATAAAGTATAAAAGAAAAGTTCAGCAGCAGACAATTAGGCCTATACAGAAGGCTGTATTGTTTACTTATTTGTTTGTATATACTGCTGCATTTAATTTATTTAAAAAAATGCCTTTATTTAATACAAAGTACTGTTGTGAATGTGACATTTAACAAAGATAATTAATGGATGTATATTACAATAACCTTACTGTATTTTTTTCTGAACCGCAGACGTCATGAACACGTGGGCGTGTGTGTCAATCATATAACGTAATCACGTCACCCCTACGTGCACCGCCCCACGCTTGTCAAGCGTATTCGCCAAGATGGTTGTCGGTGCCTTCCCTATCGCCAAGCTCCTCTACCTCGGAGTGAGGCAGATGGGCAAGCCTGTAGCGAACCGAATAAAAGCGGGAGCCCGGAGAAGCGAGTTCTTTAAGACGTACATCTGCCTGCCGCCCGCACAGAGTGAGTAACCGAGCTAACGGCTAGCTATGACCGCTAGATTGCAGTGTCAGACACCCGAGGGCTATGCGAGGAGCCGCTGTAACCAATGAGATTGTACTTGTCGAGAGCGCTTACCCAATCATGTTCATGGGTTTACCTTGTCGACCAATGGCAGCCAGGCAAGGTCGAAGAGGGCGGGTTTTGTGTGTCATTGAACAGGTAGTATGTAGCCTTTCGTTTTTGTCAGCACAGGTCTGAATGACTTCTGACGCACAATATGAAAAGATGTTTGAGCTGCCACTGCGTTCTGTTGTTTAGGCACATTTGTCAGTTTAGTTTCACTAAACACTGCCAAAAATACTTCCTGTGTCTATCAGAAAACGTGTGTCAAAAGCACTGAAAAAAACCTACCTAGCTCGAACTGGTCACCGTTCATTTTCATAACATTTACACTATTCACACAAAATTAAACTACACAAAAATAGGACACGGTGGCACATTAAGAAGAGAGTTTTATTTGAATCTGTCTTGTTACTACCTTTCACCTTTTAACTATATTATAATTTGCCATTTTATACTATACAATATTATGTTGGTGTTACAGATCTTTTGCATCATCAATAACTCTGCAATGCTCCTGTGTCCTATTTATTTTTTTCTCATATTAGTGGAATATACCTCTTACTATTTATTTACTTTCTCTATTTATCTGTATTGCTGTCACAGCAACCGAATTGCCCCGCTGGAGATCAATACAGCCCTATCCTCTTATCTTGTGTTTGTTTGAAGCTGGTGGTGGTTGTTAGGGGCTTGGCCTCAGGTGCAGACCTCAAAATGTTATCTGACTTATTTGAATGAACAGCAACAAACTGCTTCAGAGGTTTAGTGTGCTCTAAGCTCACTACTGAGTCAATTCTATGTGGCAAACTGTCAACACATGCATCTCGTTGCATTCTCGCATGTATTTCAAACTGTTCCCTTGGAGATCATCTGAAGCAAAAATGCAAACGTGAGCAACACCCAAAGGTCCAATTCAAAGTCTAACTGGAACTGTGTATGCTCTCTGTCCTCACAGTTTACCACTGGGTTGAGATGAGAACGAAGATGCGGATCATGGGCTTTCGGGGCTCCACCATCAAGCCACTGAATGAGGATGCGGCTGCAGAGCTGGGTGCGGAGTTGCTGGGAGAGGCGATCATCTTCATCATTGGTGGTGGATGTATGGTGCTGGAGTACAGCAGGCAGGCCGCTAACGCTCGCCGCAAAGAAGAGGAGCAGAACGAGACCATCGTAAGCCTACAGACTCAACTAGGAGAACTAGCACTTACCACAGAGACTCTAGATGCTCAGCTGAGAGAGATGAATAGGCTACTGCTGTCCTATCCTGTTCCCACCAAAAAGTGATGAAATAAGCCCCGTGTGTTGGTCTGAGTGTGAAAGAACAAGAGTGCACACCCATAGTACTGCCATGTGTGCAGCTTGATGATGATGACCCCGCTCCACACAGCCCATTGGCTGGAACAGGTGCTTGTATAACAAATCAGTGCGCTGGGGATTTGGGTGCTGTCATTAGCTCATGTTTTGAGCAACCAGTTGTTAAGGGGGAGTGCTATGATATTCATAGTGTATTTCTAAGGTTGATCTTGCATGTTCATAATACATTTCACTGTATATAAGGATTTACAATAAAATGCAATGGCAAATTGAAGTTAATATATTTTATAACTGCTTGGTGTGCTTGATTGAGGGCCAAACATGGACAACCATAACAATAAACATTAGGTCACATTATTCTTATGCGTCTGCCCCTACAGTTTCATGGACATGTTATGTCATAATTACACTGTAGATCTCCTTTATGGTTCATGTACATTGAATGTGATGACAACTGTAATAAGGATGGTGTAAAATAAAATTGTAAGCTGACTATTAATAGAGTTTTTGGCACTTAACACACATACAATGTACACTGTGAAAAAATATTCTGTTACAAAGGTCCTGACTTGAAAAAAAAAGTACTCGATGCAGAAAAATGTCCCATATGACTACTGCTATTATATCAATAGATTATTACTTGCAGTAATGCTAAAGCAGGATTTTACTGTTTTTACTATTTTGTGTACGACTGCAACTAATGATTATTTTCATAATAATTCATGATAGATTAATCAGCTGATTATATTCTTCATTAATCGATTGATGGTTTGGTTTGTAAAAATTCGGTAAAAAGTGAGATGTGGCTTCACAATTACCTAGAGCCCAAAGTAACACCATCCCAATATTTGTTTTGTCCAAACCTCAAAATAATAGAAATTAAAAAAGGACACTTTCATCAAAATAGTTGCCCATTCATTTTCTATCAATTCATTAATCAAGTAATTGTTTCAGCTGCACATAAGTAAAAAAAAAAAAAAGCCGAGTAGTTTTCCTACCACTGCCACAGAGTATACATAGTTCTACTTTATTACAAGTACAAGTCATGCATTCAAAATGTAATTGAACTGAAGTAATAGTATTAGCATCAGAATATAGGCCTACTTGAAGTACTAAAAGTAATGGTTAGACAGAATGGTTCATATCTGAATAATGATTATTAAAAGTTTGCACTATAATTATAATGCATTAATGTACTACTTCCACCTGTAGGCTGAAGTGAAGCGGTAGGTTTTTGAAACTACACTACCCAGAGCTCTTAGAATGTAAATATAACGTCACTTCCTATTATGGACTGTTCCAAGTGCATGAAGAGCAACATACACACAAACTAAGCTAATATGACTGTTTCCCTCACATTCGGCGGTTCAAATATAACTCATTATTATAAACTAACATGCTGTTTATTAGACACAACACATACGCCTCGGTGTTTCAATAGTAGTAGAATAAACCTGTGAATGTGCGCAGGTCTGGTTCACTTCCGGTTGTAGGTTTCGGTCTGGTTTCCGACCCACAGAGGGCAGCAGCGACGCTTTCAGTCTTATCACGACTGACCCGCGCAACTCGCGTGAGACGAGGTAGGCCGCAATCTTATTTTTTTTCCTTATTCTGCATAATAATTATATTATAAATGAAGCAAACTATGCATTGGCTACAGGACTTGCGTGTAAACCATAGAAACGCTTGCATCTTGCATACTTTCAAAGTTAAAAGTAACCCAATGTTACTTCTTCTGCATCGGTTGTCGGTACGTTAGCAAGCGCTAGGCTAGGCTAATTACCAACGTTAGCTACGAAGCGACAACTTGGAGCGTATAACAGTTATTATAATGATATGTCCGCCTTTCAAACATCTATATAAGTACGGACAGTATTAAACCGAGGTTACGTGGTATACAGATATTAGTGGAACCAGGTAAAAGATGCAGTATAGCTATAAACTAGCGCTGCTAGCCTAGCTAACCTGCTAATGTGATGTTAGCCTGGTTGACTGGATCACTCTGGCGCCATCAGTCATCGATTTGAAAGTTGAACATAGTGTTGTAAGCTGCAACGTTACTTTACCATTGTTTTGTATTTTTCTTGTTTTCTAGCAAATACATTAAGACGACCGACATCTGAGACACGATGAGTGTTGACGTGAAGAAACTGAAAGTCAACGAACTTAAAGAGGAGCTCCAGCGCCGCGGCCTGGACACCAAAGGCCTGAAGGCAGAGCTGGTGGAGAGGCTGAAAGCCGCTCAGGAGGCGGACGCTCAGGGGGATCCCTCAGACCAAGGAAAGCAGGATGAATACTGCAAGGACTTCAAAGAAAACGAAGAGGGGGGAGATGGAGAGGATGAGCAACAGGGTAAGCCCCATTGATGTTGTGTTTTAAAATATATATTTAGTTCTTTCGGTCATTACTTTAATAATAAATGATTAGATGTGATCTTATTTTTTGTCATTGTACATAGTACAGGTACTGAGACAACAGTATTGTTCATATAATGTAGAGTGATCAGTAAGGAGTGGATATGAATATCCATTACATATTTAATACACTTATATATATTTAATACACTT